TCTCATGCTACAAGGCTCTAGCAAACAAATGGATTTCTAAATAGCAGGAGAGTCATGCTGTTGTTCATCTGTCTGAAACATGATCTGAGACACCATGATACCAGAAAAGTTGCCTTAAAATACTTTTCCCCTATGGTTTCTACCTAATTTTTATTATTTATACTGAGTTATACATTTACACTAAGTTATGCCATTACCTATTTCTACAAAAGAACACTTACATAAAAAACATTCCTTCTAATACCTAAATACTACAATACTAAAACTACTAAACTATTCTTATCAAATTTCAATTTGAGAACAACAAAAAGACTTAGGCAGAAAGATGAAACAGGAGTAGCAGTAAAAGAAAACTCAACCTTTCCATTACAAATATTATGATAACAACAAGGCTACTTGCCTATGAGTACTTAGTCTAGTACCCAAATAATGTTTGCTTATCTTTAAACTCCTGCTTTTAACACATTAACTGCTATGTGAGTTGTATTTAACTCACCCTGGTTTTGAGCACAGAGCCTTGTGAAACATACATAACTCACACACCTTGGGAGTTGAAAGAACTATTTTACAAGTTGCATGTAACTCATGCACAGAAAATAGTAAGAAAATAACAAATTTTTCATTATATTAGAAAGGATTGTTTTGTTTTCAAAATGTTTATTCTATTTTCATAATAAAACTGTGGCCCCAAGGAAAAAAATTTTTTTCTAGTGTGGCAGTCAACGTGTTAAGTTCTATCTCAGAAAAATCAAAGTAGCACTGACACATACCATAATAAACCTACAGAAATTGTTATAATTTAAATGATCAGAAATGGCAAATATGTTCATAAAAATACTAACAGCACTAGCAATCACCACTGTTGAGCTATTGAAAACAAATCAAGTATCAGTGTTGCACATAACTACAATTTATTGAGCAGGCCTTTACATTCAGTATCTGTAATCCTTCCAACATTTCTGCAGTATTGATTTTATTTATTTTTTAGCTTCATTTTGTTTCTCTGGAAGTATTGATTTTAAACACAGGATTCACAGGAAAAAAATAGATTCCTGTCACACAAATATCATTCACAATGCAGTCTCACACTGCTTTTACCCTTAATGTGACTATACCAGGGGGGCACACATGCACCAAGGAAAGGAGCTAGTGGCTATACAACAGGTGGGGCCCAGGCCACAAGAAGGGTGGCCAGACAGGGTCAAGAGAATAGCTATAATACAGGAGATTGAGCAAGTAAGTATCCAAGGATGATAGGAGTTAGGTTTCTCAATGACAATGAAGAAAGTGAAGATATGGAAAGGGAGAAGGCTAGAATGAATCCTGCACTACTGGCTTGGAACGGAAGGCAGTGGTGTAACTCGTTTAATATATATAAGTAGATACAGATAAAAATACATGGATGTAAATGAGCATATGTATTTTCTAGCACTATCTAATGGGATGGCCTGAGAGCACCAACACATCTTTAATAATGAGCATACCTATACCTAGATTTTGGCTTCTAAAATAGCTTTCTCCACTGAACAGAACCAAGGTCCTCAGATAAATGGCCATTTCCAGGACTAGGGCAGAGACAGTATAAGATAAACCTGGAACTTCTTGAGCCAGAAAGGAAGTGGTCAGAGAAAGATGGGAACAAGTCAAAGGGACACATAAGCCACCTTGAATAGGGTTCCCACTAGCCAAAACTGGGACAATTTGAGTACCAAAATAAATAACAGTAGTTATAGATTATAATTCGTTGTGTAACACAAATCCACATGGCCACATTGTCTTAGTCAGTTTGGGCTGCTATAACAAAATAGATGGGGTAATTTATAAACAACAGAAATTTATTGCTCACAGTTTAAAAGGCTGGGCAAGCCAGGTGCAGTGGCTCACACCTGTAATCCCAGCACTACGAGCAGCCAAGGCATGAGGATCACTTGAGGCCAGGAGTTTGAGACCAGCCTGGGCAACATAGCAAGACTCTTATCTCTACAAAAAATAAGAAAAATTAGCCAAGAGCAGCAGTGGGCACCTGCAGTCCCAGCTACCTGGGAGGCTGAGGCAGGATGATCACCTGAGCCAAGGAGTTCGAGGCTGCAGTGAGCCATGATCACGCCACTGCACTCCAGCCTGGGTGGCAGAGTCAGATCCTGTCTGTAAAAATAATAATGATGATAATAATAATTAGACCACCAACCTGAAGTTGCTGATTTTGTCTCTTTAGTAAAAAGAGGTAAGTGCAAGTAGGCTATTACTGATAGACCCTCTTCTAGCTCCAAAATTCTATGGCCTCTTACATAAATTTGAAAATAGACAATTTACAGGCTATTTCATGCCTCAATGTTTCCTCTGACTGAAGTCTCCCATTTCCCCTTTCCCTCTTAAAGAGCTCTTGTTCTCCTCCATTATATATCACCCACTTCTTTAATGAAACCTTACTGCAGCCTAGATAGAACAAATTGCTCTATATACTTAGAGTCCCCATGATTGCATTGTATCTCTTACATATGACTATTTACATACTGTCTACCATCTCTGGAGTCTCACATCCTGCACAATGCCTGGGACATAGGAGGTGCTAAGGATATGTTTAAAGATTTGCATCTACAAAGCTAAATTAGGTTCCTGTGAAGTTTCCATACCTACCATGTGGGAGTTTAGCTTTATCTGCAGACACAGAGGCCAATATGCAGCACAACCAAAGCTTTCTCCCAGCCAGACTCACATATGCAGTACAAATTTATCCTGAGCATTTGTAAAAAGCTAAACAAAGGTATTGTTCCTGTAGATAATCTGGGCACACCCTACGGGTTATCCTAATCTATCACCATTCTCTATCCAAAAACTTCTTTACCCTGCTCTACTTTGTTCCATGGCATTTATGACCTTCTACCATACTATATAATTTACTGATGTTTAGTGTTTATGGATGCTTACCATCCATAAACATAACATAAGCACCACTAACAGAAATTTTTGTTTGCTTTGTCATAAATGATACCCAGTGTCTATATCATGCCTAGCATAGGGAAATTTTTTAAATCAATAATTCTTTCCTTCCATCTATAGCCCTCAAGAGTCATGAGTCATCGCCTTCAAAACCCTATCTTGCAATGTCCTTATTTCCTTGGCTCCATCCACTGATAAGAGGTTTCCCAGTAAGCCCCAGTAAGCCTCTAAGAACTGGAGGAAAATATTTGTATTTAACTCCTAAACTGTAACTGTTCCTTTCACTGCTCATCTCTGAGTACAGAACAGTACTCAGGAAGCTATACCAAATAAACAGATGAAATAACTAAAACTTTTTCTTTCACTTCCGATAATAATCACTTCTACGTGGTCATCATTTGATATTTTAAAGTGCTGGTGGACAAAGACCAAAACTAAAAATGTTGAAGTAACTTTTACATATTGCCAAGCACATGGGCTGAACATACTGAGGATATATTAACCACTACATGTGACCTGACCCAAATAGTGCAAACTCTCTAAGGTGCTATATACATTACTTACAGCAAGATTTTGTTATGTGGCTAATGTCCTTTAAGAGAAACAAACTAATCCGCCACATTTCTGGATCTATTAAATACTGAGCCATGTAAAAATAGGACACTATTGTATTTGTATTCAGAAAATAGCACCAGAACCTCTTCCAACCCCTAGTTACAGCCAAATATGGCTCTTCCCTGCTTCAACCATTTCAGCTTACTAGTTCCAAAAGACAAGCCCAGCAGCAGCAGTCATGGACATCATCTACAAGGCTTTAAATTCTCAAAGAAAATCAAACATCAGCAATGTAAAATTACACCCAAGATGAGAAGCTTCAAGCTAAGAAGCTTCAAGCTGACACAACTGGATATGTTGATCCAAACTGTAATGGGAAACAAGACATTTGTAAAGTCACCCAGTCCTCTCATCTAGCACTATTTCAATCTGACAAACTCAGAATCAACTTCTAAGAGGAGCCTCAGAAAGGGGTTTCACAAGCTTAAACGTGTCAGGCAAGTTGACATAATCCAGGCCCCCTACACATATTGGAAATATTACCAAGTCTGCCCTGAGGTTAATCTTCTGTGATCGCTCAGTTTTGCTTAAACACTCTCAAAAGAATTAACATTCTACATATGAGCATGTGAAAATAAAGGTGATTCTCGGAATTGAGACGCCAATGACTAAAAGTTATGAGGCAGGGCAAAAAGAGAAATAATAACTACAAATAATCTTTAAGTGCTATCTTTTCCGCAGCGGTAAAGCCTTCCAAAGAGTTACTGCGCAGGGTGTAGCCGCTGTTTTCGGAGGGCCTAGGCTGGTCTCCTGCCTCCACGTCCACATCTGGCCATCCCATTTCCTGCCCTTCCCTCTCCACGCCCCCAGCACTCGTCTGGAACGAACGATAAGTGCAATAATGACCAGCACTAAACATGACGCCAAAGTGGCACCTACGAGCGATTTGCCGGACGACTCCCCAGTGGACCTAATCAGCTCAAGGCACATACCCAAAGCCTCTGTGGAGGTCGTTTTAACGAGATAAACACCGCACTCATCAGGAAGCACTCCGGGAGGAAGGGCGCCTCTAGGGTCAAGGCGGCTGCTCCAGACCCCTTTCCCCAAGACCCCAGGCTGCCGCCGCGGATCCCGCCCCGCGACCCTGTTTCGATGTTAATCCAGGCTAGTCGCCCCACCCTCCCGCCCCTAAGACCTAGGACAGTCCTGGGGGACGCGGCAAAGCACGACGCTCTATCTTCCGCGCCTGGGACCCAAAGGCGCAGTGGCGGCCGAGCGGAGCCGCAGCCGGGCGCGGGCGGCGCCCACGGAGAGCGAGCACACGCACCCGGGAACGGGAGCGAAGGCAGAGGCCGGGTGCTGGGGATCCGGACGCGGGCTCCGGGTGCATCGGGGGAGGGCTTCCCAGGGCGGCGGGAACGCCCGGCGGGCGGGAGGGCGCCGGCAGCGGGGCCGGCGGCCCAGGCGGACGCGAACAAAGCCGGCGCGCGGGCCGGGCTACTCACAACAAGAAGCTCATGTCGGCTGCGGCGCGGGCTGCGGCGCGGCGGTCGCGAGGCCTCGGGCGGCGTCGGCCGCGGAGGACGGGAAGGCGAGGGGAAGAGGCGGCGAGCGGGAGGACGGGAGCGCCGGCTGCGCGGCGCCGCGACTGGAGTCCCGACGGCGGGCGGAGCGGAAGTGGGCAGCGCTCGCCCGGGCCGCTCACCGGAGGGGAGAGGGGCGGGGAAAGGGCCGCCGCCGGCCCGCCGCGAGCAGCCGCGGCGCCGCCCCGCGCCGCCCCCTCCTCAGCGGCCCGCGACCCCGTCCCGCGAGCTCTCGCGAGAGCGAGCCGCGCGAGCCCACCCGCCCCTCCGGCCGCGGCTCGGGTCTCGCAGCGCCTGGTCACGCCGCGAGGCGGGCGACGCCCGGCGTGTGCGCGGGCTGCGGGGCGCTCCGAGGTCTGCCCGCCGGGGTGCGGGTCGTGGCCGAGGGCTCGGAGCCGCCCAGCGGGACCTCAGAGGTCCGGGGCACGGGGCTCGAGTGCGGGCGGCCAGGTCCTGCGGGCAGCGACGGGGTGGCCGCCAGAGCGCTGCCACAGTGAGTGGCCGAGGGCGACCGGCCTTCCCGGCGGCATCCGAGCACAGAGAGGGCATCTGGTTGGGATGGTCCGCGTGCGGCTCCGCTAAAAGTCAGGAAAGGCACCAAATGAGTGTCAAGGTGCTGTCTCTTCATGGGCATGTTTTACAGCCCCGAGCTGGGAGAAGGTCAGGGTCAGGCACCATCTGAAGGACGTGACGAGCCAGGCGGTTAGCAGCTGGGAAAAGCGACGGAGCCAGGGAGGAGAGCTGAAGGCAGTTCGCCGCGGGCCCCGGCGTGGGAAGGCGGTCATCCGTCGGTGGCAACGCTGATGAACTGACTTACAGGCCCGAAGCTTATCATAAACCCTCTGATGATGCACAAAGCATTCTGGAAGCTAGAACCGATTCAGTCCTGCTTATAGAACTTTCCTTCTCACATGGTTAAGAGGCCCAGGACAAGACTTTATGTTTTACTTAAGAATGCTCAGCATACCTTGAATCTGTCACCACACCATTACCAGTTTCAGGGGCAGGGGAGATGTGGATGCCCATGTTTTTTACACAAGAGATATCCATCTTCTTTACCCACAGCACCCATCAAATCCACACGTTTTCAAAGAATCTGAACAAAACAAATTATGTACAGATATTAACACACATTTGGCTTAGCATTCCAAAGGGCAGAACAGATTTGAAGGAGGTGCAAATATGAAATTTATCATACTGCGTTTATGCACTATTAGTTTGACATGCTGGTAAAATGGTAAAAAAAAAAAATTTTTTAAATAGAAGAAAACATTGGAATCTTGTACTATCTTAGGAACAGCAGAAGTCACTGGAATAATATGAGAAGATACAGGCTCAAAAAATTCCAGGAAAGGAGAAAAGTGGAGGATTTATCCTAATATAATGAAAATAATGGATTTGTAATATAAAAGCTCTGTGTTCCTGATCTTGATATGGCACTAACTTAGTTTATATAATACCTTAGGGTTCTTCTGAAAGTAAGACTTGTGTTACCAGGTTAGGAAATTATGTTTGGGAAGAGTGAGTTAACCTGTCAGAGCCTCAATTTTGCCCCCTTTAAAATGAGGAGTGAAACTGATTTTTACATGATCTCTAAGATACCTGCCAGTTCTAAAGTTCTGTCCTGCCAGGGGCATCCTTTAAATAACTGGCACACAGTCCCTTAACTGCCCACTGATTTGGCATAGGTAGCCCTACTTTTGGTCTGACATAATTTAAATGCATCCTATATGACAGTGAATAGTGGAAAAAATTGGCAGAGGAAAGAATCCACAAAAATACCTGCTGAGTTCTTTATCATACCACTAGGAGAGTTGCCTGGAATTAAGAGCTGACAGAACTTAAACATATTGATCTAAAAATGAGGGAGGTGTCATGTTAATAATACCAAATATAATTCCAGAGGGTTAGACTTTCTGTCACATAAAATTATTCAGCATATCGAAAACATTGACAATTTCAGAATCAAAGTATATTCAAATAAATGTAATATTTTAATTTAATTTAATTCAATTTTTTAGATTTGAGGTCTCACTCTGTGGCCCAGGAATGAAGTGCAGTGGCAGGATCATAGCTCATTGCAGCCTCCAACTCCTGGACTCAAGAGATCCTACTACCTCAGCCTCCTAAATAGCTGGGATTATAGGTACTTGCCACCACTCCCAGATATTTCTATAATAATTTCTCCTTCACCAATTCAGATTTCATACCACATTCTTCCTAAAATTTCAAGAAGTTACCCTCCTGACAAAAGTCTTATAACCCTTTGTTTATGAAGCAAGATTATTAAAATTTGTATTCTGTCCACCAATTTTTCAAAGAATTGTGCTTTTAATGTGGGCAGAATGGAATAGAACATGAGTGGTCATACGTCCTCAAATATCTTTAAGTATTCAAGTTATTTTCTTATAACAAACAAGTAAATATTTATATAAATACAAATAAACAGGTTCATGGTAATGGTAGTTAAAGCTATGAAGGAAATAAACACAGTAAGGTGACAGAGTGTAATAGTGAAGGAAAAGGATTGGGTTTAGAAAGGCCCTTAGATTGGGTTAAGAAAGGCCTCTCTATAGAGATGGTATTTTTATTAAGACTTTAAGGAAAAGAAAAGCTAGACTTGGAGAAAGTTGGGGAAGAACATTTTCTGTTAGAGGGAAAAACCAAGCACAAATGTTCTAAGACAAGGAAGAGCTTAAAGTGTCCTTGCACAAGATGGGTGACAGCCTGGCAGAGTGAGCAAGGAGAAGAGTGGCATAGGATGAGGCTGGACATGTAGACAGAAGGCAGGCTGGGACTCACAGGCCTAGACAAGACGCCTGGATTTTATTCTAAGATCATTGAGAAGTCAGCAGAGAAGTAAGATAGTAAAAGGACAAAATAAAATAATCAGAGTAACACTTTATTTTTTTTAATTTGGAAAATTTCAGACATACACTAAGGGGCAGAGACTAGTATAACGAATCCATCACACAGCTTCACACAGCTTCAGCTGGTGACCCCTGAATTAACATTTGAGATAGATCGCTGTCCCTTCTTTTGGAGAATGTCAGAAAGGAAGCCAGAAGATGAGTGCAATAGTCCAGTTGTTTCTGAACAATTGTGATTTGGTTTCAGGTGGTGTCATTAATCATAGAAAGAAATCATTTATAATCTCAATGTGAAATCGACAGTACGTGTTTTTTTTTTTGAGACAGAGTCTCGCTTTGTTGCCCAGGATAGAGTGAGTGCCATGGCGTCAGCCTAGCTCACAGCAACCTCAAACTCCTGGCTCAAGCAATCCTCCTGCCTCAGTCTCCCAAGTAGCTGGGACTACAGGCATTTGCCACCATGCCCGGCTAATTTTTTGTATATATATTAGTTGGCCAATTAATTTCTTTCTATTTATAGTAGAGACGGGGTCTCGCTCTTGCTCAGGCTGGTTTCGAACTCCTGACCTCGAGCAATCCGCCCGCCTCGGCCTCCCAGAGAGCTAGGATTACAGGCGTGAGCCACCGCGCTGGCCTGACAGTACTGTTGATTGATTGATTGTGGGGGTTGAGGAAAGGAAGGAATCCTGCATAATACTTCTGCTTGGCTTTAGCTATGTCTTGGCCGATGATGCTGCCACTTACCAAGATAGGGAAGATGTAAGTCACAATTTTGGAGTAAAGCAAAAAGTTCTACTTTGGACATGTTCACTTTGAGATATCTTTGAGCAGCAAAATAGTGGTATCAGGTAGAGTTTTGACTACTTTGTTAAGGCTGGGGAGAGATCTGAACTAAAGGTATGAAAGTAGGAGTCCTCAGCCAGTAAATAGTATTCAAAGTGATAAGACAGTCTTTTGGGGTTTTGTTATTTTTAGGGACTGGATCTATGTTGCCCAGCCTAGCCTCGAACTCCTGGGTTCAAGGGATCCTCCCACCATAACTTCCTGAGTGGCTGGGACTAGAGGCTCCTGCACCCAGTTGAGATGAGATTTTGAATAGAAATTTATATGCCACATAAGACAGCTAGCAAAATGTTACCTTTAAACATTTCTTTCTTTACTTCTCTTCCCAGATATCTTAGCTTTCTGACCATCTACCTCCTCTCCCTCAATTATATTTATATTCTTCCTTTTTACTGAAGGCTAGACTTTCTACCACCTGAAAGAAAATGACTCATAGTAACTTTTTATCACACAAATTAATGACTTCCAATGTGTTAATTAATGTCATCTTTCCCAGATAAAATGACACCAGTTGAAGCCACGTTTTCAAACAGTAGATGAGGGGAAATTTCTTTTAATAGTGGTATTTCAGTTTTAAAAAAAGTAAGAATGATTGAATTTATATTAGAATATCACCACTTTGCAACCCTTGATGGATTAATGGATTTACACATTGATCATCAATGGCTACTAGTATCACAAGAGAGACCACTAGACTTTATGTGTTTCCTGATGGAATATTCTATCATCAATGAAGAAATCTTTCAGCAAAATAGAACCTGAATCTGATCAAGTCTCTAGATCCACTGTACCAATTTACAGGAAACACAAGGAACAGAATAATGTGGTAAAGAGCATTTGAAAATTATACCACATGCATGCAATCAGCAAAACTCAAACTGTGAAGAAACTATGCAAGACACAATTTCTTCAACAAATGAATTGTAGGAAAAAATAGAGCTGAAGGAGAAACCTAGAGATTAAAGGAAACATAAGGGAAAATCAACCTATTGCAACATGTGGACTTATTTGCATGCTGATTCAAACAATCTGAAAAACAACTATAACAAATATTTGTGTCGTTTATGAGATACTGAAAATCTGAACACTGGCCAGGTTTTTTTTTCTTTTTCTTTTGTTAGAGACAGTCTCACTCTGTCACCCAGGGCAGAGTGCAGTGGCCTGATCACAGCTCACTGTAACCTCGACATAGGCTCAAGCAATCCTCTTTCCTCAGCCTCCTGAGTAGCTAGGACACACACACCACCATGCCTGGCTAATGTTGAAAACTTTTTGTAGAAATGGGGTCTTGCCATGTTTCCCAGGCTAGCCTCAAACTCCTGGGCTCAAGTGATCTTCCTGCCTCAGCCTCTCAAAGTACTGGGAT